AAGAAGAAGAAGGACAAGAAGAAGAAGGTTGTGGTCTAAAGCACCAACCTTCTTCTTCCTCCCAGCATCCTGATGAGACCATTGTTGTCCTGACGCAGCGGCATGAAACACATGACCAAGAATATAATTAATTGAGCAAGAGTTTACCATTTTCGAAGAACTGGTCATGAGATTGCTTCCCGCTTCTGTTGTGCCTCAGGCCTCTCATTCGCAGCCTACACCAGTCCAGCCTAGAGAAGTTCAACCCACACATGTCCAGCCCTTACCAGTCCTGACCCCATCAGTCTAACCCCTATCTGTCCAGCCAACTTCAGAGCCTCAAAACAATGAACAGGAAGACAATCATGAAGATGATCATTATATGGATTATTAGACTTTATGACTATGAACATTACTTACATTATTATTACTTCAGCACCTTCCCAGAACAATTTTATATCTAGTCCTATATAACTTAGGTGTGCTGAGTCAATTACAAGTTCTGTTTTGTTTATCAATTACAAGTTTTAGACATTATATATAAATATGCTTGGTTGGAGTTTGTTTATATTGTTTTGAGTTGCATTGATTGGAGTTGACCCTGTTGGATGAATGTTGGATTGTATTTTGAGTTGTTTGTAAATGTTTGATGGTTGTTGGAATATGCAGGTTATATTTTGAGTTGTTTACTTAAATAAAGAACATGTATACTGCCAACTGCTACGAATATACCGACGGCCTTACCGTAGGATATATCCTTGGATAATTACCGGAGGATATATCCTTGGGTAATTACTGGAAGATATATCCTTGGATACTTACCGGAGGATATATCATTGGGTAATTATCGGAGGATACATCCTTGGGTAATTACCGAAGGATATATTCTTCGGTAATTACCGAAGGACTCAATCTGTCGCTAACTTTTATCGACACGTGTATTACCGGCAGTAGACGGACCGTCGGTAATCTATCGATAAATTCTAATTACCGACAAAATGTATATCTTACCGACGAAATTTGACCGTCACTAATATCAATTGTAGTCATGCCTACACATATAAGGTTCACGATAGATAATAAATCATGATATATAACATGATTCATAGCACTCAATACAATTCAGTTATGTGTTAGCTCCTCTTATCTAGCCCTTCAAGCCTAAGTTTCCTTCCCTAAGAGCACAACAAAACAGCCTCTATGTTGCCTCAATGTCTCTGGCAGAACAACCTCTAACCTTCACTTGCGCTACCAATAGCTTTTTATTTGATGAATGAGAACAAGCAACCAAAGTGAAGGGTCTAATCATTAAAAAATATCAATTCAGTGGGACATTCCATCAAACAAAACTAATGCACTATAATACCTGCTAGGGTGTTGCTCCCTCCACCACCACACCTTTCTCCCTCCACCGAACATTTACTATTTTGCCCTTAAGTAAAATTTTATTTTTAGGGTTATTTTTTAATTTTACTCATTCACAACCTATTCCACTAATAACCTATTCTAGTGCCCCGTACATGAGTAAAATATTTTTCTTTCATTTTAACATTATATTTCTTCCTCTCTTTCTTTTACAACTTGCAAAGGTTGGTGGTGGTGGAAAGAATTATCAAGCAGTCTCCCTCTCGTGGTGCAGTGTCGCTCTAGTGCAGTGTGTGGAGTGGTGCAGTGTGTGTTGCTTCCTCAAGGTGCGTATTCAAATAAACCTTCAAATAAAACCCTAAAATAAAAAAACATAACCTTTAAGACATCCTTCAATGGATGTCAAAATCCTTCAACGGATGTCAACATCCTTCAACGGATGTCAACATCCTTCAACGGATGTCAACATCCGTTTAAGGATGTCACCTCCCTTTAAAAGTTACGTTTTTTATTTTAGTGTTTCTTTTATTAGTTTATTCTTTATTTTGGAAATATTTTAATAATTTAATTTAAATATTTTGATTTATTATTTTTGAATATATTTTTAATGTATTTTAATAATGTAAGGAAAATGAAGAAGAAAGAAATGAGGGAGGAGAAGTGAAACGAAGAAGACAAATGGGGTTGCAGAGTAAAACGGAAGACAAATTGTTAAACGGAAACGAGAGATGGAAAGATTGGGTGCAGGGAGTAAAGTAGGAGAACTAGGTTTGAAATAAATTAAAATAGTAAAAGTAAAAAATTTTAATACGAGGATATAATTGGAATTAAAATAAATTGAGGAGGTGGAAAGAGAAAGGTGTGGTGGTGAAGAGAGTAACACCCTGCCTGCTATCCTATAAACCGTAACTGAGCAAATGCAAAGATAAAAATGAGACCCAAAATATTAAAGAGCCCATGAGACCCAAAATATAAGAGAGCCCAATCCACATATCCTATCAACCAAATCAACCATCATCGAGACAAAAGATATGCAGTGACACGCAATTAGTTTAAGCATTTTGTTAATTGGACTCTTAATGCAAATATTTTGGTTATATTGTATGTATATGCGGATTATTTTTTCTCTACATTTTAAGTTTTGGTTTTACTGAGGTTTTTCATTTTAAAAAAAGAACTGTCAAAATTTACATCAAACTATATGTAATACACGATGTAAATTTAGGTTGAATAATCTGACACAAATTTTGCTCCATAAATATCCATATATTATACCCATTCACGTGTGCTGTAAATTATTTCAACGTAGAGATATGTTTCTTTTAGGTGAGGTGAAATATCTGACATCTACTTTAAACTCTTATATGACGTGAATGAGGTATTTATTTATTTTAATTAAAAATGCTAAATAAAATTTATTACAATAAGTAACTTTACTCCATATATATTTAAAAGGTAAACTTTTAATATATAGTAGTGTAACAAGTACTTTTTATAAATTAAGAACATAGATATACATAATTTATTTTATTTGAAGTGTAGATAAAAGAGGGTTTACAGCTAATTAATAATTTCATTCCTTGGACAGCGTAGGAATACTTTGCTCGTTTCTGAAAAAGTTGTGAGGATCAACCTTGGTCTTCACTGTAGCCAATCTCTTGAAATTGTTACTGAAATACTTGAGACCCCAAATGCTGGCTTGGTTGTAGCTTGTGTAGCCATTGTTATTCACACCAATGTCAAGGTCTCTGTAATTCACATATGCAGCTCTCGGAGAGTTTGAAACATAAGGTTCCATATATTTATACAATCTTCTAATCCAATTCACGTGCCTTTGTGTAGCTTCGTCCCCTTCCTCTTGCCAAACGACCACATAGTGAATATGAAATATGTATCCAGATCTGTGTGCGAATGGAATTTCAGATTCGGAAATCTTATCCATTCTGCCTCCATAAGGAGCAAATTGAAGCTGAGAATATTGAACTTTATCGTCGTTAAGCCAGCGCCATAACCCTTGTAATCCATCAACAGGAATGGGTTTCCTCAGATAATCAGATTTTCCTTTGTATTTCCCTGAACGAAGTTGAGTTCTGTTCAACAAAACTTCAGGGGCTTCATGGCCTGAGGATCCAATCAACACACCATTCGTGAAGACAGCTGAGCCAATCCAACTCGTCTCTGTACAGTCTTTTCGCTCCAAACCCAACTCTGGGAAGTTCTTTTGCATCAATGGAATAAGTTCTTCTACACCTCCTTGAAACATGGACACAAAATTCGCTTGTAGTGCTAGCTTTCCATGTTGACTTGAATTTGCCCTTGCCAAGTCCATCCTAAGAAATATGCGCTCGTCCAATTTATTCGCTACTAGTTGCCACTTTTGAATGATTTCAGTTGCATTTTCTTCCAAAATCCTCTCAACATTGAACACTGTTACAGTTGATGGAACTGGAACTAGCTTTATCTTCCAAGACACGATGACTCCAAAGCTTGCTCCCCCACCTCCTCTGATGGCCCAAAACAGATCCTCACCCATGGCTTTTCTGTCAAGAAGATTACCATTCACGTCTATTATGTGAGCATCTATGACATTATCTGCTGCAAGACCGTACTTACGCATCAAGAATCCATAGCCACCTCCACTGATGTGGCCACCAGTGCCCACACTGTAGCATACACCAGCTGGGAACGCTAGTGTTTTGCTTGCCTGGCTAATCGTGTAATAAAGTTCACCAAGGGTTGCCCCAACTTGAACCCACGCTGTTCGGTTTTTCACGTCAACTTTGATTTCTCGAATGTTTAAGAGGTCAAGGATGACAAATGGAACCCGGGCAACGTATGAGAGACCTTCGTAATCATGGCCTCCGCTTCGAGTTCGAATCTGCAGGCCATGGCGTTGGGAACATATTATTGTTGCTTGAATGTGGGAAACAACCAGTGGTGTCACGATGACGAGGGGTTTTCTTGAGTCGGAGAACCTAAGATTTTGCATGGTAGCATCTAGAACAGAGGAATATGAAGAGTTTGTTTGGGTGTAAATAACACTGGAGATTGAGTTGGTGTTATGGGGATAACTGTAAAAACATTGAAGAAACTTTTCATGAGTATCTGCTGAAGAAGGTGTAAATGAAAATAAAAGAGCAATAACAGCAGCGAAGGTATAATAGCAGCTTAGACACTTCATTTTTCTGGATGGTTTGTTTTTAATATGGAAAGGGAGTTTAAGAGAGAGTAATGTGGAGTCTCTAATTTATAGTAGTTTGGAGTTTTATGTTAACATCAGTTAAGTTAACGAAATTCTGGCGTATATCCAAAAAAACAAAATAAACGCATGCCTAATTCTGCCACATGGGTGGAGACAATTCAATTATGTGATGTGGCATGAGACTATTCTACAGATTATACTTGGCCAAGTTTCACACGATGACATAATAGGAAGAAAAAATGTTGCTGATGAAAAACTTGCATTTCATGTATGCGCAGGCAATTGAGCAGTAGAATGTTGACCTCTTCATTTTGAAATCCTTATAAAATTGAACGGTTATATTTTTAAAATGCTTTTGTTGCTGTCTTAAACTTTCATAACAACTTTATACTCATACTCACGTTTTCTATCCCTTTTTAAATATCAAAAATGATATTTTCATAATTTTTGTCTTTTATATATATATATATATATATATATATATATATATATATATATATATATATATATATATATATATATATATATATATATATATATATATATATATATATATATATATATATATATATATATAATCAACCCTTTATAAAAATATAATAATAATCATAATAAGACCAATTGTCTTACCTAGATATCTCACTATTATATTACGATTATGAAATAATTATAAACAAAATGAAAAAGGTCAAAGTATCATTAACTTTCCCACCATTTTGTACTGAAATGGTATTTTCAGATTCTTTTGTATGCCTTTTTTATTTTAAGAATAATGTTATGATAAAGAATACAAAATTTATTTGAAAGAAGCTAAGATTTATAATATTATTATTTTGTTATTTGATAGTTATAAAAGAAAGACTCACCTAAAAATATTTTTTAATAGATTGTTGCTTGCACGTAAAAGGAATTGAGTTAGGAGGTTGAATAATTATTATTTTTTATTTACAATATTCAAACTTTAATATTATACTTTTCTCATACGACCCTAGTCTTTTATTATTTAAACAAAGGATGTTACATCAATGAAATATTTTCTTACAATATGAATTTTATAAGGGAACAGTTGTTATCAAATCATAATCATGGAAAAGTATTTAAGATAATTTTGTGAACAATTGTTGTTGAATGGTTGAAACTAAATAATGTTTTAATGTACCAGTTAATTTTTAATTTCTATCAAATTCGGAAAAATAGAATCACTCGATAAGTTTTTGTAAATCATAAAAGGGTGTAAAAAATTACATGAGATACTTTTGTATGTTAGCATTTAATAAATATATATATAAAAAAAACCCACCGTTGAATCACCTTTTCCTTTGTAGAACAAAATGAAAGGATAGTTAAATAAATTTGTGGCAAGATTTGAATGTTTTATTTGTAAAAATAAAGCGTGTGGATAAACTAAGATGAAACTAATATATTTTAAATAGTAATCTCAAAAATGAATTTATGTGGAATATATATACATACATATATATATATATATATATATATATATATATATATATATCAAATTATTAATTATTACACCCGTGATAGATTTTTTATAGCATATTATTTTTATTAGTTAAACTATTATATCATAGTCATATATTACCTTGTTTATGTCGAATTTCATTAAAAAAAAATATGATAATAATCCATTGGTTTATATATATTTTAAAAGTCATATGTATTATAATATTTTTGATATATATAGATAAATAAATAAGATACGAATATTTTTTTACCGATAAAATAATTTATAAACATAATGAAGAAAATAATTTTCAATAGATTTATTTAGAGTAAATTATCCCCGTTAACAATAATTAAATTATATAATAGTTTATATAAATTACATACTTTAGCGAACACATATACTGTCTCATTTTCAAAGTATTTTAAACGTGAGCAAAGAGAAGTGTCTTGTGAGGCATATCTTGCGTGTTGTGTTTCTTATCCTAGGGAAAGATAATAACCACTTACTTTTATATAGTTTGATAACAATCTTTTTACAAATATACAACTAATGCTTGGCTTGAATATTTTGAGATGCTGCTCAATAGTATTTCTAATCACAATATTTTATTATTTATTTATAGGATTTTTAACAATATTTTGTTTTGGAATACATATTTTTAATTTGAATGATGTTTTGAAATTCATAAATATTAAATTGTTGACATAATTTAATGTTAAGAGAATAAATAATAAATAGTTTTTGTCTTAGTCTTATATCTTGTATTCATCTATCCATGTAATTTAGTCTAGACAGACCATCCAATAATTTTACTCCTTTTTGGTCTTTTTTTTTTTTTTTTTTCGTTTTTGACTTCATTTCCTTCATGAGCTTCGACTTAAAGCTCCATTGGTTTCTCATTCTTTTTATCCTTTTCTTTTACATATTTTGTGGACATGTAGAATTTTGTTAGTAAAATTAGGAATTATCTTTTCAAAAACCACTCTGATTTCAGTAAGATGCTAGGTATTCTTATACTCTAAACGTTTGGTTATAAAAATAACATAGATATAAAATTTAAAGTGATTACAATAAAATAGACTTAAAATATTATATATAATTAGTTATTCAATTTTAAGATATTTTAAATATTATACATAATTAATTATTAGTGGTATGAATGTGTTTTTTTTTTCATGATTTCGTTATTTTTTACTATTTTTATCAACAATTTTTTGAAAAGATAGATATATGATTAATTTAGGTGTTAATATTAATGTTACTCACTATTGTGTTTTCAATCTTACATTCAACCAACCTAATAGACATGTTATTCATGAAACCATTTAATAAACTTTTATTCATATATGTACCTATTAATGTTATTCAACTTTTTTTGTATACTGGTGTTTTATAATAATTTTTCTTATGTACCTCTATTCAATTTAATTTGTATGTTATCTATTAATGCTTCATTGGTCGAAATCAATAACATTTCTTAAAGATAATTAATCTTTTATCTAGGAAGATTGTAAGCAATAATGTTATTAACGGATTGTATGTGTTATTTTCTTCAATATTGATTCTTGTGAGAATGTGTGTGTTTTAAACAGTTATTTTGATTAAATGACATTTATTTTAATATTTCACAAAAAAAATTTCTATTTCCAATTGTCAAGTTTTTCCTTCAAAATTAAAAGATTATCTTTCAATTTACTTAACAACACGTGTAACATCCCTAAAATGTATGTTGTATCAAACAAATAAACATTAATAAATTGTAGGTAGTAGATGTTAGGTATAAGGTAGAGTAGACAACTACTATTGAGAATAGGAGTGTAGGTGATTATTGTTGGAAATGTGAGCACTGGAGAAATCCTTTTAATGGAATAATCAATTTAGAGAGTAGACGAATCTTGTGAGTATATGACCCTCATAACTGTGGGAGTAAACAATGTGAGAATTAGACGACTGAGGAGTCGAAAATATAAGCATTAGATGACTAAGCGTAGATAATGTGGACACTAGACAACTGGAGGTGTGAGCACTGGATGACCTTTATAATAAAAATAATAAACAACATAAGTGTTAAACGATATTAATGACTAAAGGCAAAAGATGATATAATATCCTTGGACGAAGATAATTAAATTGTTGAGCGAGGTATAACATATTCTAGTAAGATTATCTATTAAGAGATTATCCAAGAAAGTATAAAGAATATATCTCATACGAGTATTATTATAAAAGGAAGATTTTGTAAAAGATGTTGTATGGAAGTTGTTATAATACAAATATTAATTACTTAAAGAAATTATTTTATTTGAAATATTATCTTTCAAATGATTATCAAAGAGGATATTAGAAATATACACTATAAGAAAACATGAAATTACCAACAGATTTGTATTAGAGGATTGTAATCCATCGATAATAGTGCATTACAGACGTATTAACCGATGAATTGTGGTGGTTAGCTTACCAGTAGAAATTTTGTCAGTAACAATGTCAATAAAGTACATCCTAAACAAATTCGTCGATAATTCAGCCGATAAATTGTATGTGTGATTATCAACGGATAAGAGTCATTGATAATTTCTTGAACACATTAAAAATTTGAGAACTCATTTTTCCCTCTTTTATGTGAAGACCTAGAGAAAGAAATAATGTGTACTAGAGAAGAAAGATAGAGCAAAAACATGGGTGGGCAAACATTTTGTGAAAGCAACCCTTTTTTTTTTTGAGAAAACAGGGAATCTTTCCCTTAGCGTGCGAACGAAGCCTCTTGTAATCGTCATTATTAATTTGGCAAATTTCCTCTCTCTTCACTTATTGTCGCAATTGTTACATTTTCTAGATAATTAGGGAGTTACGTTGAAGGTCCATAGAGACCTCATCATTTGCAACCTCACTCGTTAATAAGTGGGGCCATTTTTTCCATTCTATGTAGCCATAATATTGAGTGATGTTTGAACTTAATAAAGTACGCTAGCTCTCTACATAATTTTTCCTTTTGTGTGAAACTTGATTGTTATGTCATATGTGATTTGACCTCCTTAGAATGTCCTAGCCAATCCTTAAGCCGAGAAGGTTATACCCCTGTAGTAAGAACGACAATGGTCTTAAACCTATAAATTGTATCTATTTAAACATGAACCCTAGAATGATGTGGTATTTTCCATTCTGATTTAACCTATGCTAGATGCATCCTTTGAGTGACTAGATCATGTGCAAATGAGTTCCTTACTTAATATACTTTTCCACCTAGTGAAATGGTACAAAATTGATAAGCTTTAAGTTAGAAATTTGTGGACGGTTCATATTTCTTTACCTAATATTAATAGTTATATTACCTTCCTTAAATCATCAAACGGTGTAGTCAAATTGAGTATACTTTATAGACCATAAGTCACCTTAGGTGTTGCAGTTTTTTTGTGTCGTACCTCTTTTGGATTCACGTTTTTATTCCTCTTTAAACGGGTGTAGCCACTACTTCTTTTAAAAGTGTTTTGTGGCCTTTTGACCAAATAAAATCACACTTTAATATGTTTTTCCTTTGCTTGATTGGTGCTAAATGATGACGTGGATAT